TATGTGTATTTGTAAAGCACTTTGAGCACCTGTAAAAGCGCTCTAATAAAAAATGTAATCCATTATTATTATTATTATTAAATGAAAACTCCTTATAGTTAATATGTACCTTCACTATGACTTGTGATTTCTACTCTTTAGTGAGTGGAATAAGTAACACTGAACGGGGCTAACTGAGGGTTTCTACACTTTATTATTCCTCAAAGATGTTAGTCTCTCAGTGGGCATTCAGATGGTAGCAGCTATTTTAGACTATCTGTCCATTTCCATCCACTTATCTGGTTTGTGTTCCACTGACCTCATTAAAAGCATGTTTAAATGAAGGGTAAAGCTTCACCTTCAGACCTCCTTTTCACCATGATCCTGCTGGCTTGACCACAGACGCCACACGGATCAACAAATCGATCTCAAACCAAATCTTACACTCACCTTGAGATGCCTTAAACCCAAGTGAACAGGAAACGGGTAAATCCATTGTTAATCCATCTAGTGTCCATCCAACTGGGAGTTCCTGACCTTCAATCCCCTCGTGTGCACTGGATGTCACCGCATAATGAAGCCAACAGAACTGCATCATTTGCAAAAAGCATGCCCTGTTCAGACCTGCCATTAACGTGCATCTTTTGTGATGCGATCGCAAGTTGACGGCTGTAAATATGTCACCTGGCATGTCGAGCACAGATGGGTCTGAGTGACAACAATGATCAGATCTTACTTCCCCGTTCTATATTTCAATAAACACGCACATCATTGGGCATGTACAAAATAGACAATAATAACAGTTTTTGTATTAGTTTGTTGTGTATGTATACATTATTTTTGCTTCCCACATAAGTCATATGGTATAACAACATATGAGATGAAGAGGCGGTCTTTGTTTGGCGTACTTTTCTAACCCGATGAGAAATGTTCGTAAGCGCTCTCCAAAACCTTTAAAAGCACATGGAGGCTGGGTGGGCTCACATTGCTTTGCTTTTTTACACCTATGTGTTTATGGGATTGTTTGTTTCTTGTTTTTCACTTGAAGTCACATTTACCCCAGTTCTTTGTCAGTGCGCTCATTTTAAGAGACCCTGGGCATAATAATAATAAGCATATGTTGAGCTCTTGTTACAGTCGTGTCTTTTTCCCATTCTTTGAATAATGTTTCTTATCCCCAGCGAGCTAATACCGAATATTCATTATTTAGCATGTAACTCATGTCTTCCTTGTACAACGAGGATCTTATGATAGCTTCTTGATGCCATAAGCATAGCCACCTTAGTCCTGCTCCTCGTGTGTCTGCTATAAACCAGTTTTCCCGCGGTACAGCCAGGAGCCCCGCAGAGAGAGCCTAACGGTGCATGAAAAGTCCTAAGCGTCTGTTTAGCTCGCTTCTCGGTTTAACCATTAGAGGATTTTTCTTCGGTGGGAAGCTGTAGAACAGCTGTAATGGTGTGGAACAGCGCTACGAGACCAATGCCTGCCTCAGGGGACAGCTCCATGCCTCAGGCCTGTGTGTCCTACTTTAAGCTCAAATACACCACTTCATATCATCCATACCTGTACTCTGCGGTGGTGGTAGGCCCTGCAAGACTTTGTTTTACAGCTGTAGGCTGTGACGAATACTGCTACTGTTATATTATTGCTCAGATTTGTTGTATATACACTGAACAAAAATATAAATGCAACACTTTTGTTTTGCTACCATTTTTCATGAGATGAACTCAAAGATCTAAAACATTTTCTATATAC